GTTATTTGTGGTCAGAAATTATGGGAAAGCGGCAACTTTATTCGGATTTCAATTATCTGGAATTTGAAATATGGCATGCACCAGCTGGACAAATTTTCTATGTACCATATAATTATACGCGGAATTACAATTTTGAAATGAAATACTGGAATCCTGTAGCAGTACATCTGTTCTTTTATAAGGTTTGTAATAATTCTTATTCCTTTTTTTTTTCATTCCTTATTCAAATAAAAAAATAAATCAATTAGTATGTTTTCAAGATATTTCTCTCATGGAAAAGATGCGTTTAAAATTTCAGATTTTTAACTTTCAGTACTCTTTTTCCGTTGAAAAAAATTTTGAAATTCTTCTCAATCTCTTTTTTCCTCACCAAAATTTACATTTTCAATACGTTGTATGATTCATTTGCGTTATTTTGATTTACAAAAGTTGAAGCAAATTTTTGAATATCACTTCATATATGCATATATAAATGGCATATTCATTTTTTAAGAGATTCATTGCATTTCAAATGCTTCCATAAATTGCTTTGAATTCTTTTTGAATATATATTCATTTTCAAATTTTTTAGCAAAAGGTTGATATTTCGATTGATTTCCATCTTATTATCTTCCTCTCTAAATTTAAAAATGATAAATTTGATTTATTTTAAAATTTATTACTATTTATTTCTTCAAAATATTTTTGCATAATCACTCGAAAAAGTATTCAGGAAGAAAGGCAAGAAAAAAGTTTGGGAAATCTATAAAATTAATATTTAATAAAATAATCATTCAATAGTGATATTGATAAGATAGCCGAGTTCAGCAAATGTAAACTTACTTATTTCGATTTATATAACTTCAATTAATATAATTATGAAAGTTTGATTTCAGATTTCAATTTGAGCTTTTTAACTTTCTTTCAGTGAAATGATTTTATCTCGTAATGGAAATTTAAAAGAGAGATAAAAGAGTACAAGTACAATTTCATGCAAAGATTATCAATTGCGATTTAACAAAAGAAAAAAATAGCATAATTTAAGAATACTTCAAGTGTTGTTGAATATTTGCTGGTGCACCTTAAAAAGAAGGAACATTTTTTTTTTTGCATTATTAAGAATGAATAGATTTTTAATTAATTGCCATTTATTGAAAAAAAATAGAACAGCTTCAAGTGATATTAATAAGATAGCGCAATTTATTAATATCTAAATATCTAAAGCTAAATGTATGTGTATTTGTGTTTGTATGTGTGTGTGTGTGTGTGTGTGTGTGTG